AAGAAATGTGGGTTCGCAATGAGGCGTGCGTGCGGACCGGAGGAGTGGAAAGTCTTGAAGGCGGTGGAGCCAATATCAATGGGAGCTGGTGTGCTACCAGGAAATTGCGATGGGAATGGAGCTGGGTCCGAGGGTGAGCTGATGTACATGAGAGCTAGGTTCGAGAGGGTTGTGGGGTCTAAAGACTCGGAAGCCTTTTACATGATGAATCCTGATGGTACCGGTGGCCCTGAACTCAGTGTTTATCTGCTTAGAGTTTAGTTTTCAGTTTTGATGACGCTATCCCATGATCCACTACGCTTTAGATTTTGCTGTTAAGCCAAGAAGTCAGCGGAGATTTGGTTCGGTTCTCCATGTTTTTTGCCTTGTTCCTCATAATCATGGAAAAAATGGGATGTTTTTGTAGTATCATGCTAATATAAATCAACCGCTTTGGTAGTGGAAGGTACTGGCATGATAGTGTGATAGATGGTGTAGCTATGGCGGGGTATATCAATGTATAGCTTCTTTCTCTTTCTTGGGAAGTGGAAACAAAGTTGCATATGTTTCTCCTTTTAAAGTTATATTTGATTTGATCTTCCATTTCGGACTAATCTTCTGGTTTTGGGATGAACATTCCAGTTTTCACTTGAATGGCAACGAGAAAGGTTTCCTGTTTTCATGGTATTCGAAGTTATATTGCATAGTGTTAAACTTGTAAATCCCAGCTCTCCTACATGAATGATGAAAAACAAAAAAAGGAAAAGAGTAATGATAGTAGTAGGATAAATGAATAGGAGATGCTACTTTCATATAAGCTTTTCGACAGAAATGTCCATGCCAACACAACCTTGGAGGTGCTAACTATTTGAGAAGGGAACGCTTTTTTATTCCATTCTGTGTCCAGCGAACTCAAAATCATGAATTGCAATTGATTCACCTCCATTTACATTTACATAATCATTATGAAACAGGCAAATTAAAGTGAGACAGAGCCATCCTCCCTGGAAACATTTGCCTCCACTTCCACACGTGCCCCTTTGTCATCATCAAATACTTGAACTGGAAGCCTGCCCTTACAATTACTAACATGTGGCAATGATTGTTCTAGGAATCAAATAATGTCTTTTCCTCCACTTAATCCTATTAGCTTTGATGGTTCTACACTTTGGCCTCGATGCAATGAATGAAAACCCAGAAATCTGATGACTGTTTCTTTGCAAAGTTGTTCATCAAGTAGAAACTTTGCGGCAGATTCGTAGCAGACAGCAACCTCAAAAGTTGTTAAGAATAGGAGGACCATTTTGCTGTAATTTTAGCCTGTTGGTTATTAGGGAATGGTACACATGGTATCTTTCTAGCAATTCAAATTTTGAACCGAAGAGAGTGTGAATCAGACGTTGTTTGCTTCCAGCTAAAGCAAAACCAAAATCCATTGGGATTCTCAAATGGTCAAGACTCAGGAGCAGTCTTGATTGACTCACAGTTTTCATACAGAAAGAAAAGGTCAGGTTTTTGCTTTATTCTCTGGCTCCAGTTCTTCTCCAATTGATGCCTGCACAACTTATTATATTACCCCGTATCGTATCATGTTTTATGGAATTTGCTGTATTTGTTGGTTATTCTAACGGTGGAAGTAACGATTGTGCTTCACATCTCCAGAAAAATTGTGTTGTCCCAAGGTATAAATGCCACTTCCAATGCAAAATGACTTTATGCTTTTGTCTTTTCTAATTCTCTCTAAACTAAACCAAAATACTCCTTTTGTTGAAAGATGCACTCACTACCCCTTTTTCGCCTGGGGAAGAACATGTGTTGTATCAAACAAATATGAATAAAAGAAAGAAGCAACCAATGGCAAATGGAGGTCTAGTCGCCTAAGAATATGCTCCTGGACCCTGGTCATGGGAGCTGAGCTCGAGTCCATGAACGCATGTCAGCTCTGTACATCTGAGCTACAAACTAAAAGTTCATTGCTTAGCCCAAAAGATAGCTACTTACTTTCAAGTTTCGAGTATCACCCAATGAGCCCATCATCACCCATCAGCATTTTGGTACACATTAGCTTTCCAGTGAGGAAGATATCCAATTCCGGAAACAGGAAATTTCCCGCATCTTGATCCAAAGGGTTTTGGTACAATTGCCTAAAAAGAAATAGTTTTGTCGAAAATGAAGGACAAAGGATGTTTCTTACAAGTTACACCAAAAGAGAGAGCTGCATCCTTTTCAAGTTTTGCCAACTAAAGGATGTATAGTTTGTTGTGCAGCATTGTAGCAGGATGATGATCCGAGGAGAAAGACTTTTTGTGGGAGAGGAGAGGAATACCTCAATCCAAAACTTTCACGTGCATCCTTCAATTACAAGCTTCTCAAAGATATGCCTTGATGAAACTACTCCAAGCTTTGATTGAAGAGTGAGTGATAATTGTATCAATTATTTGAGGGTTTGATTCATGTTCAAACTTTCCCACATGATTTAACGAGAAAAGGCAGAAGCAGAACCTCCACGTGGGGAGACTAGTTGCCAATGTGATCATCTCCACGGGACAATGGGATTCTACTTTCCCGAAATGAGAAGGGAAAAATGTTAACAGCATTCGGATTCATTTCAATACAATAATAATAACAAGCGTGGAAATCTTAGTTCCCAGCTTTTTGAGATTTGGATTTTTCCCATCGAAGCGGCAAATTGCACGCACTTTGCATAACCCCTTGCCTAAATAGTTGCTTTCATGCTGTTTCTTCTGTTCTCTCAATCGTACGTGTATATATATATATATATATATATATATATATACACATACAAGTTAGTTCTAAGTTAGTATTAACAGAGAAATGAATAGAGATAAAAGAAAGATTAAATGAGTTAGCTAGGAGGTACGAAATGGTCTATAATCTACAATGCACTCTCAAGTGTGAATTTAGATTTGGGCCAAAATCTGGCAACAGCTCACCAAATATTTGACCTTCCTTTGCATTACTTAATACAATTGCCAGGCCTGCCTGTAAATTACAGCTCAACTCTAGTAGTAGCTAGTAGAGAAATATGATGACAAACGCCCCTGCTTGCTTTTCCTAATGTGTTTTGGAGCTTTCCCAGAGAACATATCCAGTTATTGCAAAATGAGACCAGAACAGAGCAACAAATGTTAAAAATAGAATATCATTTTTCTAGTAGCCAGCTAGTGTATGGCAAGAAAAAGGATAGTTAAAATTAAATTGGGTATTGAACAAACGTTTTGACTCCATCATTATTTTTTTTTATCATGGCATTGACATGAGCTACCTCTATGCATGAATTTGGAATTTTGGACCCACCATTTAACGAAAAAAAAAATTCAGACCAAAAGTCAGTTCAAAGATACTCCATCAGCAATGAGAATCATGTTCCTTGCTATTTTAGCCTACCCTTCTCTCTCTTATTCATAACAATTTAAGGTAAGATAACTCCCAACTTAGTATGAAATTATTGAGAGAAGTTTGGGTACAACACTACTACACAAACTAAACTCACATGAAAGGTGAAAGACAGACAGATTCATTATCTACCAATTTAAGTTAAGCTCACCAAACGGACAAACTTAAAAATCATCCGTCGATCCCACTCATGACATTTAACATAAAATCAACTGACCATAGGTGGAGTGTCTAAAATTTGATAGAATTTACATTGGTATTACTGGTTTACAAGAGTGGTTGAAATGTGTCTCCAAATTCAAGCAAATGTGTGTGACATGAACCATTGAGGTTCATATTCTTACCTGTTCCCTTAAACAAAGGTGAAGCATTCCGTACTCTGCTTTATTTTATTGATATTTTCCTTTATAGGATTCGAGTTAGTTAGGCAATTTTCAAGATATCTGATGGTGGTCAGAGGTGACAAATATGCCCAATGGAAGAGAAAATTAAAGAGTAGGCAGCATTTGAGAATCAATGGAGATAGTTTATCTTATCAATTATCATCCTCCTTAATTCCTTCTTCTTTTTCTTTCTCTGCTTTCGGACAAACTCCAAGTTTTCAACGAAGGAAAGTGCCCATCAGAATTCTTGAATTTGCAGTCATCAGGCTTCCATTCCATGTAGGTTCAGAAGCTCTGCTTTTTGTCCAAAACAGAGGCTCTGGTCTAAAAATGAAGCACACGCAACCTACGGATGTTAGGCGCAGACAAAGTCTCATTGATCACAAGGTAATTCGCCTGAATAAACCTCATTGAAAGGAAGACTCAGGAGAAGTAGGGGCCAAAGGCGCCCAAGTCTACTCTAAACGGATGGCAAGGTTGATTGAATTTGCATGGTAATCACTGAGCTTTCTCACCTACAGTATTCGAAGTAGATCCAAATGCTGGCTTTTCTTGACCCAAAGTCAAAACCGAAAACAGGGAGAAAGATAGAGAGAGTAGAAAGGCAGATTACCGTGATTTGATCCATACCTACTGTACGTATGCAAAACCTTATTGCAAAGAACATGTGAAAACAGATTCAGATCATATCCAAAATTTAATCATCATTCAATCCCAAAATTTCAATTCATTTCAACAAAAGTATACAGCTGCATTCATACTGAAATGAATATACTAGAAGTAAATTTCAACAAACAAATCTTTCTATACAGTATAGCTACGAAACCCCGGAATGCCCAAAAGGAAATCAGCTCTGTTTTTTGATCCGATCTCATTAGGCTTCACATTCAATCCATCCCCCAAAAAAAGAACCCTTTGCTACAGATAATCCTAATAACTCAAGAAAAAAAAAAGAGAACTATATATGAAAAGATTTAAAGAAGAAGAAAAAAACTTATAAACTACAAAAAACAAAGGGTCTGTCTGTACTCAGTTTTTAGTAGAATCGACGACAGAGTTGTGTCTTTTCGAAGGACCAGAAGGTGGTATAGGTGTCCCCTTGGGGAAGAAGTTGAACATCTGTCCTTGGTATTGAAAACTCGTCTCGTGCCTTCTCCGCAAAGTGGTCATAGAAACTTTGTCGTCGACGATCATGGTTGCGCCGGGCCTTGTGGCAAAACTAGAGCCAGCAAGAAGCATAATTAGGAAGCTGACATAGATGATATTGGAAAGCTGCCTCGTGCATGAAATTCGTTTGGATTGAAAAGAAAGTGACGATGACAAAGGGGGAGCCATTGAAGAGGAGAGAAAACGAAAATGCTTCGGCCTAGGCCTAGAGGCTAGAGGCAGTAGGGTTTTAGATGAAGAGTTTTCAAGGCTGTTTTTCTCTAGTTTTTTACTGGGAGCAGGGAGACAAGTTACATGTATATATATATATGGTGAAGGAGCAAGGGGAGAAAGGAAAAAGGGTGGCCAATGGGGAAGCAAAGGGTAGGAAATTAAGGGAGGAGGGAAGAGAGTGAAATACACGCTAAAGATTGTTGAAATTTGATACTTAAGATTGTCAACGGTTTGGAAAATTATTATTGAAAGAAATTGGTGCCGGCATGGACTTTATTTTGTGTATATTTTTCTCATCTCTTCCAATTTCTTATTCTTGCTACCCAAGTTTTTATATCTAATTGTTACTACCTGTATTTTCTCTTTAAAGGATCAGCATTGCAGGGTAGATTTTCCTAGAAACTGTGGCCACATAGAACTGGAAAAGAACTGGAAGATCAGGAGGATTGCAAAGCCGGCTATGTGCCCTAACCATCCTGTTAATATATATTTTCCATTACGAATGTTATTTGCTGACAAGAGATAGCCTACTTGCACACGCAGAAATATGGGATTTTCATAGACGGCGAGTATAGTGGAAAAATAGATATACATGGACTTAAGATATTGGTGATGAATTTTATTTGCATGGCCGCAGATGACATTCATCTTTTCCTTGTTTGTAACTGTGCATATTTTTGTTTATATTCACAAAAAAATCAAGAACCCCGAGGAAAATATTTGTGATTTGATGTGGGGAAAGACAATGAATTGAATGGTTTAGGCAGACACTGTTCATGCCAACTCCCATGAAGAGTACGTGATGGAGGCGTCTGAATCCAGAATTCAATGGCACCCTGCCTTTGCCCTCTTCCTTGTGAGAGCGAAAGGAGAACCACAAACACTTTACCGATTGCTTTCTCTTTCACTAGCAATTATGAAATTAATTGAAGGAATAATGATAAAAAAAAAATTAGAAGAGCGATTATTATGAGCACTTGAGATATCCAATGTTTCTGAAACAGACCCTTCAAAGCTTGTGTAACGGGAACTAGTTTTACAGCACATGAGAAAAGAAAGGAGGGGAAACGTTGGTGTCGTTCTGGTACTGTGTTTAGCCATGTAGACTAGATTGGGCCACGAGGGTCAGCCGATCAGGCGATGATGGTAAGTCAAAGGAAAATATTAGAAAAAACACAGAGAAAATTTTCTATTTGAAAATTCATTGGATGGAATGGATTTGCTGCAATTCCAACAATTCTGACCCTGAATTCAATTTATTATATCTTTTGCAATTATAAAGGAAAATATGTAGTTGAGCAAAGAGGAAAATGAAGGCGAAAAATGAATGCAAGTGGGGGAGGGGGGGATCTTTTGCGTGGGAAGCTCTTACAAGAAAGCAAGACCTGATGGGGAAGCTGACATTGATAAGACATCTGTAATTGGCATACAATTCCCAGTTAGTAATGGTTTCTTGTCTCCTTGAGTTTCCAATTACCCTGTTAAAAATCGAAGAAAGTCGCCTCCATGAATAAGCATCCGCAGCGTCCCAAATCAAGCGACGGTGCGCAACACGAATTCGTGAAGTGCAACTATGTTAACATGACCATGTTATTCAGGAAATAAGACCATGTTAGAGTAAACTAATGAAAGATCCGTGTCAAGACTTTGTACTGGCCTCGGGGTGTTGAACATGTGGCGAATGGCCAAGTGGGGTAGGTACCCCATTTCAAGATGAGGTTGTCCTGTGTCAATTGTCAAATGTCAACGTGATTGGCATGATCACGACCGTTGGATTAACCTTAACCGGAAGGCAAAATTAGGCAAATATTAGGAAATTGACGACCCAATGCGACCGACATTCACCTCTCACAGAGGCTAAAACCGGGGATCAAGGCTCCTTTTATTAAGTTTTCATTTAAAAAGAGTGTATTAGCAGACTCTTCTTGGGGTGTGCTTAAAAACTCCTAATTTTGTCAACTTTTGTGGGTTTTTCCTGAGACTTTGAGGTGTGGTGATGCATTTGCCTAAGCATGCAATACACGATGGCTTATGTTGTGTTGACACTTGAAAGAATTCTTTGCCATATGGCACGACCTTGTTGTGAAAGAAAACCGCTAACATAACTAGAGATTTTTTTTCTTCTTTTAATTTCTTCCCATTTGTCGTCCTTACGGTTGTTGCTTCGCTAATTCATCATATGATCGTCCATTTCACCAACCCTGGCTGAACCCAGATCGAGGATGGACTACTTCTTCAAGGTCCATTCAGCCAACTCATGCTTCAAGTTGTGGCACTTTCTGGTCCTTGTCAGCTTAGCCATATCTGTGTCAAGACTACAAAGCAGTTTTCTCATGCCCGTTTCTCAAATCTCCAAAAGGGACCTTGGACTTGCATTTATTAATGGAGATAACATTCGATTCTTGGTTGTCAGTACAACTATTTTCAACCTCTAGTGTTAATAACACTCTTCTTACTTTTAAAAATTTTTAATTTAAAGAATCGAATAATCAATATTGACAACAATAACAGTGGATAATTATTTGATTTTTGTTTTTAACTCGTGTAACAATACGTAAAACCAAATATGAACAAGTTCAAGTTTGTAGAGAAATTTCTTTGCGTTGAAATAACTGCTATAGTCATCCGTAGGTGTGTGGCACCTATAGATGAGGAAGAATGGAAAAAGTGAAGTAACATGAGGCAGCAGTACCTTAGAGTCCTCAATCCTCGTGTTAAACATGCAAATCTACATTGTTTGAGGGTGGAGGGGGAGGTGGGAGGGCAGAGCAGTAACAGCTGTTACTGGTTTGATCTTTTACCCTTGGGAGCAGCTAATTAATTAACATGTTCCTAGTTCAGGATACCAACATAAATGAGGAATTGCTTGCCACAAATGTAAACTGTAGTTTGATGCTATTCTAAGCCTTAGGAATTCAATGGGGAAGAAAATCAACTACCATAAGTATGTAATCGGATGTGACAGCCTTTGAAATATTGGTACATAGTCAGATTATTTTGCCTATTTGAGGCGCATGTCCAAGATTGTTATGATAAAGCTAAAATCTAATGCACATAATTAAAACTAAGAGTAGAGCTTTCAAGATTTTGCTTTAGAATTCCAGTACCTGTTGCAACATTTAGGGGAGGCCTGGGGTTGAAACCAAGACAGGTTCCACATTCTGTGCTTTCTCTCACATGCAATGCAAAAAAAAAAAACAATGCTAGTCAGTAAGCTTCTCATGGGATCTCAACATAAAGAGAAAGAAAGGAATAGAAAGATAATTAAGTGGAAATTGTCTAGTGGCAAATAATGAAGTTTAGTCGACTAAACATAAAGAAATCTGCAGCACTGCAAAATCAGAAATGTCTCAATTTTCCTGTCATTAAGGGTTTGTCAATATATAGTATCATCTATTGAGGTTTAAAAGATATGTCTTGAGTAATTACAGTTGAAAACACAAATTACTTAATTGAATAACCAGCAATGGAAGAGATATGTCTTTTGGAGAAATCCTTTATAAAAATCCAAAGTAGAGATCAATTCAACACACAACAAAAGACAACTAGTTCTGATGTCAAGAAAAATTATCCCAGTAAGTATTTACTATGCATAGAGTGGATTACAGAGTGTAGTCAATGGGAAACCTTATTATATCCTAAACCTATTCGATTCAACCTGTTGTATACCATAATTGGCAAAACCAAAATAAATATGAAGAAAAAGTAACATCTGCAGCACGCGTTGAAGACATCTCTTTCATTCTCTGTGTTTCCATACTCAGGCCAATGGCGCCCCAAAAGAGAAATGTAGCACAGCACCAGCATCAGGTTGTGATTCCATGGTAGCCAAACACAACCCTTGTATGAGCAACAGTTAATTCAGCATCAAGAACAAAGCACAGCAAAAACAATTACAACAACAAAAGCACAGGTTCTTTATATATAGTTTATCCCCTCCCAATCCAAATAGTAAAAAATGTAGAAACAAATAAGAGAGGCTGGCGTACGGTGAATGAATGTTGTTGTAGTTGAATTAATGACATGAGAACTGAGGTAAAAGTCATGTGCGTGCAAGGTTTAAGAATCAATTCTTCTGACCCCTGTGGACAAAGCGTGTAAAAGGAAAGTTCTACTTTTCTTTCCTTACGACTTGTTCAAATGTTGGTACACCCAGATTAGTTTGTTCAATGAGGAAGGAGGCTCAGCCGACTACAGACCGCAGCTCCAAGAAAAATTGATATATTTCGTCACAGCATATTGTCAATACTACAGATAGAGACAATTATGCTTTCTTTTTTTTCTTTTTTTTTGATTTCTTGGATTAAAAGACATTTGCAGTCATTTGTTTTGGCTTTATTATGTTTGAATGTGGATAGTGATAACTGCTGACTTGATGACTACATGTATCTATAGACCACTTCAAGCCCAGTCCATTTTCTGCTTCAATGGATAAGGACACAAAGGTTGTTCTTTTTCTGTAGAGCTTTGATGGAATATTGGGCTTTAGTCTTGTCCATACAACATAAATCACCTCACCCAAACCCATCTACAAACTCCCGGCAGTTTAGTCTTGGGGCAGCAGCTACACATGGTCATGCACGATGCTTCTCTCTTTTTTTTTGCCAAACACTGTTCATGCAAGCTTTCAATATCCACCCTTAAACCTAAAATCTGTACACAACCAGTAAATTGAAATTTTACTTATAATTTGAATGTGGAGTGAAGTGTATGAATGAAAATAAGGGCTTAGATTAGATGAAATAGTCTTCAAACAGATCAGAACAGAACAGAACAGAATTCTCATGGGGATCAGTCCAAGGAACTAAAACAAGTGAAGGAACATTCAATTTGGGTCAGAGCTTCAGAATGCCCCATGAATAATAGAAGAAACCAACCTCGATCCAAGAGAGCTCAGCTGGCAGAGCATTTGCATTTGTCTAACTTTTTTTATTATAAGCTGTAACCGGTTGCAGTTCTCATCTCATCATCATTATCATCTTTAAACATAAGAGCCACAGACCACTGCATTGTTTGCAGGCTACAAGTCTACCCAAAGCCACACACAACCAAAGTACTTGCCTGGTTGCAGCTGATCAGTTGCAGGTCACAGCCTACAAGCCTCCGTTATCCCCATACGGCCATACTTCACTTTCAATGCATTAAAGTCATAACTGCCATGCATTGGAAATCCAACTAAAAACTCAAAAAATGAATCCCAGATCCCAATTTCATATTTATCTTCTGCTTGCAGAGGTTCCCTGCATTTAAAGTCTGTTACTTAGTTGGTCATCAGGAACCAAAATCAGAATTGCTGGTTAAGGTTGACAAGTAGAAGGCTATGACAAAAATGTTCAGGGAGAAGTTATATTCGTAACTTTAGGAAATAGTATTAATTCTTCAACAAGTACTATACTTTACCTTACTTGACAACAAAGGCACGGACCAAAACTGTGCATGTAATTAGGGGACTTTTAGAAATATTGGACATTGTAAGATTTGTAAAACAGAAAAGATACTAGCTCGATGTTAGGCTACAAGAGAGGGAAAGAGAACATAGATGTTGCATGTGAAAGGGTCAATTACCAGGCCTAGCATCTCTTTTTCTATATAGGACCTACGAAAAGATTCAAGAGTAGTACTGTTATCAATGTATCTACCAAGAAAAACCAGCAAAGCCCATGAATGCCATAGCTTGAGAATCCCGATGAGGCAATAAAATGGGAATTCTGATTCAAATTCCCATCCCCCAACTTTGCCCTGGAATTGGGCTCAAGCAAAGTCCCACCTCCTTGGCATGGCTTTACTCCATATGGAGCATTAGTTGCTGTCATTAACCCAACAGGGTAGCAGAGGTTTGGGTTATTCCAAGCCCCAAAGCGCCTCCCCATTTTCCCATAAAACTCTTCAGAGAATTTAAGCACTCCTGTCAGATTGTTCCCATTTAGATAAAGCGCTCTAAGACTAGGCAGAGATGCTAGCTTTGATGGGAGATCGCCTGTGAGATTGTTGCCACTAAGACCCAGAAATCTCAGCCTCTTCAATCCACAAAGGGACTCAGGAATATCACCTGTCAAGCCCACATTAGAGAGATCCAAAATGACCAGATTTTGCAAGCTTTGCCACTCTAGGCTCATAAGATCTCCACCTAATGGGTTGCTAGATAATACCAACTCTTCCAAAGAATGCATCTCTACAATTGACTGGGTTAATCCACCTGAAAACCTGTTGTTTCTCAAATCCAAAAGGGTCAAGTTCTTCAGATACGCAATCTCTCCAAGCAGCTTCCCCTTCAGTTGATTGTTGCTCAAATCAAGCTTCAAGAGTGAAGTCAGGCCGCCAAGAGCAAAAGGCATATGGCCTGAGAGTGAATTTCTACTTAAATCCAAGATTAACAGCTCCTTTAAACTTCCAACACTGTCTGGAATTTGACCAGTGAACCTATTTCCAGCCAGGACTAGTCGATTCAAGTTACTTAAGTTGCCAATATTTATTGGTAATTCTCCTGTTAATCCATTTTCTAGTAAGACTAAAGATTGGAGCCTAGTAAGGTAACCAAAGCTAGTAGGAACTTGCCCAATGAGACCTGGGTTGGCTCGAAACTCTAATAACTCTAAGCTGCCAGCAAGTTTTTCCAATTTACCGCCAGGGATGGTAATCCGATGTCTGCCAGGTGAGATGAAACAATTGAAAAAGCTGAGAGATTTTAGGTGCTTAAGCTGGAATAACTGTTGCCTAAATTCCACATTAGGGGCACAACCAAGAGAGTTGTCATGAACTGGACCAATGCTCAAAGCAGTAACATACCATAGGCCACCAACGATATCACAAGAGACCCCCTGCAGAAAAATTCAAAGCAAGATATTACCACTCAATCAAATCTGTGACATAGCTTATGGTACCAATTAAGAATACTAATCATTTCTAACAACATAAATCGATTTAATGAAAGGCAAGTGATATACTTTTACAGCATAGTTTCAGAATATAGAGAATATAACAAAAAATTGACTGGAAAGTGTTTCTGCATGCGGTTTGACTCTGACTAGTGACAATATGCTGTTTGGTTTCTTTTGAATGCAAAATACAGTAGTCCTTTGGCACAACCAACAGCCTGGTGGCAGCTGGAGTTTTCCAGCTGTCTTGAATGGTAATGGGTTGATACAGCATACCATCTCCTCGCAGATTCTCCAAGCACAACGGAGAAACATCCCCCGTGCTACATGTTAACTGTAATGCCTAAAGTAATCATTTCGGTTCACACATAAAGGAAACTGCTATTACAAAGAGATCATTAAATAAGATACCCGAATGTATATCAGCCTATACAAAAATGTATGTTTATAAATATTCTTGAATGAAAAAACTTGGAAGTACAAACAAAACTTCATCTCAAGCACAATTAATGAAGGATGAAAGAAGAGAAGGGGTAATTCGTAAATGGGAAACTAGCTATGAAACAGTAAATTCCACCAAGAAAGGTTAAAACTAAAAAGTATTACCTGTATAGGAGTCCAACCACAGGGATCTGGATAGAGATCTGAGCCATTCCACCAATTACCTACAAAGCCTTGTATGGCAGAGTACAGAGCAGTTTGCTCAGCTTTCTCCATGGGAGCTACTTCACTGTCTGCTTGGCCACAGCACCAAACACCCAAACACAAAATGCAGACAGCCAAAGTGAAATGATTGCTTCTGATAAGCATCCCCATGACTGGATACCGTTAACAGCACAATCTTTTCAACCTCAGGAAGTGAAAAACAAGTATAGATAGGCTTAAACGAACCGAAACGTGTTGGTCGTCGAAAAAGAGCAAGGAAGAAAGATAAAGATGTTACTACAAGCTTAAAAAGGAAAAGCACAAGACCTTTTCAAAAAGAAAAGCACAAGGCTTTCGAAAGGTCAAGGAGTTTCCACTGCCAAAACAAGGGAAAGAAGAGAGACAGAAGAAGAAGGGAAGAAGGGAATTCAAGCCATCAACATAGCTGCAAAGGTCTTAAGTATCAGTATGGGACCCCTTCGATGGCCAGTTGTGTGTGTTTGAAAAAGCTTGTTGGATAATGTTGAGAGGGAAAGGTACAAAAAGATGGTTAATTGAAAAAGGAAAAGGAAAATGGAGAGAGCATTAGAAGCAAAGGAATAAGTTGAGCAGTTTGCTTCCTTGTGTGTTATTGGAAAGCTAAGGTAAGTAATATAGCAGAGCAGAAAGAACACAAAAGATGTAAGCACAGTTCTCAAAGCCAAGAAAGTAATAACAGTAATGACAATAATAACAAGATCAAAAGCAGTAGAAAGTAGAAACTGAAGGGGCTTTGAGTGCTGAAAGCGGAAGGAAGGGTGACCCTTTGCACGGCTCTACTTTGCCAGCCCCCTGTGATTCTTCCCTGCAGACTCCTTTTGGGTTTATTGGTAGTGGTATTACTACTAATAATTACTGATAATTATTACTTTTTCATTTAATGTATTGCCAGAGATGGTTAAAGAGAGTGGTGGTTGAGGGATTTATTGTTGGAGAGTGTGGTTAAGGTTGTAGGATTAGTTAGGGGTTCAGGAAGGAGGGGACCAGTGTCCGCTCAAGCAAGAAGAGCATGAAAATGCATGCAAGACAAAGTTGGGTTTTTATCTCTTTGCTTTTCTGAGCTGGTGGGTTTCTGAAACAGTACTGTTCAGACGCAGAGAGACGTATGAAAGGACAAAACAGCATTGAACTGTGTTAAAAACAGTGGGGATTCTGCCTGGACTTCAAATATAGATTCAGAGCTTTCTTGGGAAGAAATGGCAACTGGAAATTGGGATCGTAAATTAAGCATGTGTGTGTGCTGAAATGGAAACCTTGGTTTGTAACAACATAATGGAGTGAACAACTTGGTTTAGTTCGGAGATTACATCAAACCTTTGATAGTTTAAATGATCGTTGATCATGAAACCGGTTCATTATGCAGCAAACAAAAAACTGGCTCATTGGTTGAAAAACAATTTTCCCAAATGAAACCTTT